CTTCCCCCCTTTCCTCTCCTTCCCGTTCTTTCCTCGTTATTCCTTTCATTAATAAAGTATCCAACTCTTTCGATAAAATAGCCCGAGAGAATAACAGATCTTTGGCGTTTACTGTCAGCAATAGACTCGATAGATTCATCAAGGTACACAAGGATCCTTTGTGTAGGTGAAATCACTCGAATGTCGTTTACGAAATTAGATGTAACGATTGCACTGCAACGTATGTTGGGCAGACTAAAAGACAGCTTATCACTAGAATCAGGGAACACAAGGCAAATATTAGCAGACTATCTGAAGCTGTTTCTGTGGTTTCTGATCATAGACTTGCTGGCCATGAGTTTAATTGGGATGATGTGAGGATCTTAGATGAGGATCCCTCCTTCCTAAGACGGATCATCTCTGAAATGATCCACCCAGATAGCACTGAATGTCTTATGGACGTACATTTTAAGTCCAGTTTGTGTCCACATGTCCATGGACATAAATAGGGCATAAATTAAATGTCCTCTTTTGGATATCAATCAAATGTCCTAATTAATACGTCCTATGGACATTCGATATATGTTATAGTTTAGAATTGTTGATATTTTTATATTAACGTTTAAAAAATATTTGTCTTTTATTATTATAAAATGATTTAAAATATTTTTCAAAAATTTCACTATTTTTTATTATTAAAAGTATATCATTAACAAATATTGTAACAAATATTTTTTAACATTTATCTTCGTATATATAACAAAATAATTAATATTTATAAACAAATTTTTTTAAAAGTGTTTATAATGTATAATTATTTAATTCAATAAACTTATTATATTTGTTGAGAAATTTTCAATATTACAAAATCTGTTTTTTGTACATCATAATCAAAATATTTAAATATTAAATATTAATTATAAATTCTCCAGAGAATTTAATTATTTTAAAATTGTTTTTAAATACACACACATATATATATATACAGGGTGACCCATTTTAACTTAGGCAGCCAAATAACTCGAAAACCAAACCCAGGAGAGAAAAATGTTTCAGACAAAAGTTGTTTGGTTTCGAGGGAGCCATAAGATGGTATCATTGGTTTGACCTTGAAGAGTCATTTGAAGGTCACGTGAAGGTCACCTCAATTTTTTTAAACGGCACCCCCTATTTTTTATTACATATTCTTGTAGCTGACCTCGAGAGCTTTCCAAAACACTATAATAAAATATTTTTTTGTTGAGTATTTTTCGAGTTATGAGGCTTGAATTTCTTAATTCTACATAAATCATAAAATATCTAGTGAAATATTCATTTTTCGATTATTTTACCTTAATACTTTTATGCACAAAATAATGTGAAAAATCGATTGGTGTAAAGAAAACACATAGTTATTTTTAAGAAAAAATATGTAATTAGCAATTAACAATTACATATTTTTTCTTTGAAACAACTATGTGTTTTTTTTACACCAATTGATTTCTCTCATTATTTTGTACATAAAAGTATTAAGGCAAGATAATCGAGAAATGAATATTTTACTAGATATATTATGGTTTATGTAAAATTAAGAAATGATTTCCAGCCTCATAACTCGAAAAGTACTCTATGAAAAAATATTTTATTATAGTGTTTTGGAAAGCTCTCGAGGTCAGCTACAAGAATATCTAATAAAAAATAGGGGGTGCCATTTAAAAAAATTGAGGTGACCTTCACGTGACCTTCAAATGATTCTTCAAGGTCAAACCAATGGTACCATCTTATGGCCCCCTCGAAACCAAACAACTTTTGTCTGAAACATTTTTCTCTCCTGGGTTTGGTTTTTGAGTTATTTGGCTGCCTAAGTTAAAATAGGTCACCCTGTATATATATATATATATATATATATATATATATATATATATATATATATATCTGTAGTTACATGGTATTAGAAAAAAGTGTATTTTTGAATTAAAAAATTGTATAATTAAGTTTTTGTTAATTTTTTTTAAAACATGTATAAATTAGATATATTTATGTACAAATTGTATATATAATTGTATTTTGAAAAGCTTGATTACCATATATCTATGTTGCCATATATATATATATATATTTATCTTCCGAGGCACAATGTCCCGCTAAAATTAACGGTACTGGCGCTGGCGTGTGCGATGCGTGCCCTAAACAAGCGCTAATCACCGCTCTTGTTTTAATAGCGATAGTGTAGTATTTGGTACACGCGTACGCGTAGTGTAGTGCTGTGAGGTTAGGTTAGGTTAGGAAAACACGTGGAGATTTTGCTATAAATTTATCAAGGTAAGACATATTTAATATATCATAAGAATAGTTTGTCACATTATTCACACACATAAAATTCTCAAATGATCAATTCAATTTGATTGTATTTTGCTTCATTCACTAATTGATTGGACTATCGTTTTTTATAATCTAACCTCTAACGATAATCTATAATTCCATAATAATTACTCAATATATAAACGATATATATGTAACTAAATATATGTATATGTATATATATATATATATATATATATATATATATATATATACAGGGTCTACCAAAAGTGTGGAAACCCCTAAATATTTCGGAAAATATACGTTTTACAGAAAAGTGTTTCCAACAAAAGTTGTAGGGTTTAAGAAGATCTATATACTGATTCTATCAGTTTGACCTTGGATGGCGTCGTCAAGGTCAGGTCAAGGTCACATTGACTTTTTTAAATGACACCCCCTACATTTGATTGCATATTCTTATAGCTTAATTCAAGAGCTTTCCAAAACACTATAATAATGTTCATTTTTATTAAGTACTTTGCGAGTTATGAGGGTTGAATGATAGAGTAGCGCCGGTATTAACATTATCCAAGGTGTACTATATGGAGGTTACTCGCTCGGATTTGCATCTGTTGTGTGTGTGATCCAGCTAACTAAGGCAAGATCGGTCGTGGATCCAGTCAGCAAAAGCAAAGACCCAACCAAATTACAATCGAGCATTTAAAGACCTGGAAAGCAATCGACATAGTAAACAGTAAATAAATTTGTGGATGCTCATTTATCATAATAATTGTTCGAAATGTGTGCGTGTGCGTGCGTGCGGTGCGTGTATACAGAGATCAGGTTAGGTTGCACCAAACGATTGCAAATGTGTTTCAATGTGTTAAAGTAAATGCTGAAAGTGGCTGCCATTTACTTCCTGACAATATGCTAATCTTTGGTAGAATGTAGAAATGACTTTACGATTCGTTTCAAAAGGTATCAAAGCCATTTCATCCCTTATTCGCTGTATCAATTCGTGAATGGTTTTAGGTTTTGTTCTGTAAACCTTACTCTTCAGATATCCCCATAGATAATAATCAAGAGGAGTTAGATCTGGTGACCGAGGTGGCCAATCCTCTCCTCCCTCATTTCCGTTCCTTCTTCCTATCCACCGTAGCGGAAAAGTCTCATTTAAAATACGACGTGGTCCTGCACCAAAATGAGCAGGAGCTCCATCATGCTGAAACCATATTTCTTGGAAATTATTTGGAAAAGTATTCTGTATGGCTGGAATTATTTGATCAACAAGTAATCTCTCATACCTTTGAGCGTTCAAATATTCTTCAAAAAAAAACGGCCCTATTAAATAGCCATCTATTATTCCGCACCATACATTTATTTTTTGTGGATGTTGTGTGTGAGTTTCCCGCACCCAATTCGGATTCTCATCTGACCAGAAACGAAAATTTTGATTATTAACTTCTCCCGTTAAGGTAAAAGTTGCCTCGGCTGTGAAAACAATTTGATAAGGGAAGATGGGCCGGACATCTATTAGTGCCATCATTCTTTCACAGAAATGTATACGACGCTCCTCATCTCCGTTTTGCAATTCTTGAACGTATTGCAATTTATATGGATGGAACTTGTTCTTCTTTAAAATTCTCCAAACCGACATGGGAGCAATATCGTGAGTTTGAGCGACTCTCTGAACACTAGAATTGGGATCTTCAATAAATGTCTGCAGAACATCAAGTTGTTTTTCTTCGTTGGTTGCAGACAATGGTCTTCCTGACTTAGAGCGATTTCTTACGCTACCAGTTTGTCTAAAACGTTCTATTGTTTTTAACACAGTGGACTTATTAATTCGACGGTTCGAATACGTGTCATTAAATAATCGAACGACATCAGAGAACGATCTTTCGTTATCACCCCATCCACGCATCATGAGGATAGTGATTCTTTCACGTTCCGACAAGTCGCCAGCCATTTTTAAAACGTTTAATTTTAATTAATCGTACGTTGTATTTGGACGATAACAATTAATTTCTGCTTGCTCAAAGCTGAAGTTAGAAGGTGCTCGTTCTTTGATAGCTTTATACATTCTTAGTTGAATTTTAAATGCGAGTTAGACTGCATGTAGTGCGTCACATAGCGGTAAATGAAGGAACTAACGAGACGTTTCATACACGTTTTATGGAGCAATTTTTTGGCAATTTGACTTCAGCGAAATATGAGGATATGTTGAGGAATCGATCTTGCCTTAGTTAGCTGGATCACACACACAACAGATGCAAATCCGAGCGAGTAACCTCCATGTAGTACACCTTGGATAATGTTAATACCGGCGCTACTCTATCATTCAACCCTCATAACTCGCAAAGTACTTAATAAAAATGAACATTATTATAGTGTTTTGGAAAGCTCTTGAATTAAGCTATAAGAATATGCAATCAAATGTAGGGGGTGTCATTTAAAAAAGTCAATGTGACCTTGACCTGACCTTGACGACGCCATCCAAGGTCAAACTGATAGAATCAGTATATAGATCTTCTTAAACCCTACAACTTTTGTTGGAAACACTTTTCTGTAAAACGTATATTTTCCGAGATATTTAGGGGTTTCCACACTTTTGGTAGACCCTGTATATATCTGAATGTCTAAATGTAAATATGATTAATTTTATAGTAAACTAATAAAATGTATTATTCTTCTTTGCAGTTGTTTTTGCAGAATTTTCTTTTCGCACGATTATTTTTTCGTCAATCAACAATCATTATCAATCACAGGTAGGAAAATATATTACTTAACTTAGAAAATGCCAAAAGTAAGGAGAAAATATTATCGAAGAGCACAAGAAATAACTAATCTAGTAATTAATACTGTTCAAAATAAGAATGTAATGCCGTTATTAAGAAACACATCTTTAATTTCAAGTAATAATTTAGAGAATAATAATGACTTAAGTTACCAGGGTTGCAATGATTTTCAACATATCAATAATGACTATAATGATTTAGAAGACACAAGTAATTATAATTCCGACAGTGATCCCGATGATTGTATAGAACATATCAATTTTGTAAATAACTTTGAATCTACAAATTCCACTGATAATTCTCCAAATTCTATATCTTGGTTGCAAGAATGGGCAATTAAAAATAATATAACTCATATTGCGTTAAATGAATTAATATCTAATATAAAAACTAAATATCCAGAATTGCCTAGAAATGCTCGCAGTTTATTAGGAACTCCCAGGAAAATTAATGTAGACGTCGTTCCACCAGGACATTACTATCATTTCGGTTTAGGTAATTGCATTAAAACACTTTTAACGCGATGTTCTTTTCAAAATTTACACTGTATTGAAGTTAACATTAACATTGATGGCCTACCATTATTCAAAAGTTCAAGTAGTCAAGTTTATCCCATTTTATGCAATTTAATTGGAAATTACAATGAAGTTGATGTTATTGGAATTTATCATGGATATGAAAAACCCACAGATGCCAATATATTTTTAAAATCTTTCATAGAAGAAGCAAGAAATTTAACTATTTATGGTATAAAAATTAAAGATCGCACGTATTCTTTTAAAATTAAATCTTTTATATGCGATGTTCCTGCTAAATCTTTTATTACTTATACAAAGGGTCATTCAGGTTATTACGCCTGTTCTAAATGTACAGCTAAAGGCGAATATTACCTTAATAGAATGACGTATCCGTATTTGAATAGTTGTCATTTAAGAACAGATAATGAATTCCGTTTGAAATTACAGGAAAATCATCATACAGGTACATCAATAATTGAATCAATTCCTAATATAAATATGGTGAATGATTTTCCATCAGATCCTATGCATTTAATATTCTTGGGAATTGTTAAGAAACTGATTTCTTTATGGTGTTATGGAAAACCTAAAACAAAATTATCCTTTTGTCAAATGTCTGAAATATCAAAATTATTAGAAAATCAAAAAAAATATATACCTTTTGAATTTAATAGAAAATCAAGATCTTTATTTGAAAGTAAAAGATGGAAGGCAACCGAATTTAGAACTTTTTTATTATATACGGGATCTGTTGTTTTAAAATCTATTCTAAATTATGATCAGTATTTAAATTTTCTAACTTTACATGTAGCTATTACTATCTTGTCAAATTCAAAGCATATGGAACAATATTTAAATTATTCCAAATCCTTATTGCAATATTTTGTAGAAACATTTATTAAATTATATGGTAAAGAAAATGCATCGCACAACCTGCATCATTTATTACATATTTGTGATGACGCAGAAAAATTTGGAACTCTTCAAGAATTCAGTGCTTTTCCGTTTGAAAATTATTTACAATCTATATTAAAAATGATTCGCAAAAATAATAAGGAATTAGAACAAATTGTTTGTCGTATATCTGAAAAAAACTATTGCATAAATTCTAATTTCAAAGTGAGATGTAATAAGCCTCAATTTTTAAATCCACATTTTAACGGTCCACTTATTAATTTTCATAATTGTAATCAATTCGGCAAAATAGTGTTTAAACAATTTATTTTAAAAATAAATGAACCCGATAATTGCTGTAGCTTAAAAGATGGAAACATTATTCTTATTAAAAATTTTGTTGTAAATAATGAAGGCCATTTTGTAATTGGAAAGAAATATAAGATGCTTACAGATTTTTATACCATACCATGTAAATCGTCAAAATTAGGCATATATGTAATCAATGATGTTGGGAATTTAGAATCTTGGGATTTAGAGCAAATTGCGAATAAATGTATTAAATTAAAATATAAAAATAAATATGTAGTTTTTCCTTTATTGCATTCAGAATAATCTTTCTTCTTCTCTTGTGCTCTTCGCTAGAAAAATGCATTAACTTATTTCCTCTAACACCTAATGTATGTACTGTACGTATGTATACATTTGTGCGTATGTGTATATATATATGTGTATATGCTTATATGTAAATGTGTATTTGAGTGTGTATGCGCGCATATGGTGTGAGTGTCAAGTGTGAAAGGAAATGGATTTATGGATGTCAATCGGTTTCCGATATCCTGTTCCGATATCCAATTTTCCAATGAGTTTTTGAAAACTTTCGTCTTTATATATGTAAATTATAAGTAAAGTTGGAATAAAATGCTGCTTAAATTTTTTTATGATATGTACAGAAATGGAGAAATTATGGACAATTGTAAGATTCATTAATGAAGATACAGTTGAAGCAGTCCCATCTACCTGGATTATTAATAATAAATGTTATTGGCCGCCGTTTCAAATGGAAAAAATTGCAGCGGCAATCAAAAAACATGCCGAACCAAATACATGTTGGCCTTCATATGATATTGTAACTTTTAGAAACAGCAGTTATGGTTAATATAAAAAAAATTAATATTTAAATATATATGCATGTCATTAATACAATATATTTTTGTAATCAGTAAATACGTAATTGTTATTTTTTGTTATAATAATATAAATATTTATTTGCATATTTTCAGATAACTATAAAACAGCCAGGGAAAAAGCCAAAAAAGCTGAATTAACATCGGAACTAAATTCTGATACTGATTATGACGTTACGAAAAGAAAAATTATCCCAAGAGAAATTTCCTCATCCTCATCATCAGATGAATCTCTTCAAAAGTGTAAATTACCAACCCCTCCAAATATGCACACACAAAGTATGTTTTAATATTATATATCAATATTAATATATATATATATATATATATATATATATATATATATATATATAATATAGAGGGTATGTCATTTTAAGTGATGCAGCTGAATATCTCTTAAAGTAAAAGAGATTGGGAAAAATGTTTCAAACAAAAGTTATATGGTTTCGAGAGGGACATAAGATGCTGCCATTAGTTTGATCTTAAAGAGTCATCTGAAGGTCGCGTGAAGTTCACTTCCAACTTTTTAAATGGGATGTCCTATATACTTTTACATATTCTTATAGCTTGCTTCAAGAGCTTTCCAAAACACTATAATTAAATATTTTTTCATTAAGTACTTTTCGAGTCATGAGGCTTGAAATCATTTCTTAATTTTACATCAACTATAAAATCTAGTAAAATATTCACACACACACTTTTTGATTATCTTATTTTAATACTTTTGTTACAAAATAATGAGAAGAATCAATGGGTGTAAATAAAAAACAACTATGCTTTTTCTTTTCGTAATGGATTCCTCTCATTATTTTGTACATAAAAATATTAAGGTAAGATAATCAAAAAATGAATATTTTACTAGATATTTATGGCTTATGTAAAATTAAGAAATTATTTCAAGCCCCATGATTCGAAAAGTACTTAATGAAAAAATATTTAATTATAGTGTTTTGGAAAGCTCTTGAAGCAAGCTACAAGAGTATGTAAATGTATATAGGATGTTCCATTTAAAAAGTTGGAGATGACCTTCAGGCGACTCTTTAAGGTCAAACTAATGGCAGCATCTTATGCTTTCCTTGAAACCTACAACTTTTGTCTGAAATATTTTTCCTAATCTCTTTTACTTTAAGAGATATTCAGCTTCATTACTTAAAATGACATACCCTCTATATTATATATTATCAAATACTTTTTCTCGGAAAAAATTTGCTTTACATAATTTAACAATTACAGTTTATCGATATAAATGCAAGCTCTTCTGTAAGTAGTTTAATTAAAAGATTATTAGCTATTATATTTGCGAACACAACATAAAAAATCTAATGTCAATTGTGAAAAGTTAAAATATTGATTTCTCTAATTATTTTAGAGTAAATTTTTATTTACATTTTTTGCAAATCAAGATTATTTGGTTGAAATTTATATAATTTTTATTGACGAAGTCAATATTGTTAAATAGTAATATTTTTAAATACAATTTTGATTTTAAAAAATAGAAAGAGATAAAAAAGATTGTATTTAACAATATTTTAAAAATAGCCAATAAAAAAATTATTTAATTTCATACAATAATACTTGATATGCCTTTTAAAAAAATATAGGTAATGGAATTTTATTTTAAAATAGTCAAGTAAAGTAGTTAGAAGAGCCAACATTTTACCATTTCAGAATTAGCATTGAATTCCCTATGTTCACCAATGCAGAATCTTATATATAATTATATAATACTAAAATGCTAATAAAATTAATAAATTAGAAAGTAAGGAATTATATAAAGCTCTCTATTTGAAAATACAAGTTTGACTTTAATAAACCATAAGGACCGAACGCGGATGATAGTGCGTGAGTTTCAACGAGAATTAAGTTTTCGTTGAAATAGATGTATGTGCTCTGAGCACAACTATTTCTTGGTACGATACTAAGGAGTTTAAATAATTCTCGTTATAGGGAGAATAGAGGGGAAATCAAAATAATTTCTCGAAGTAACGAGAATTATTTAAATGCCTTGGTATTGTACCAAAAAATAGTTGCCCAGGACACGTATATCAGTTTCAACTTAATTCTTGTTGAAACTCATGCACCATCATCCATGTTCGGCTCTTACGGTCTATTGAAAGTCAAACTTGTATTTTTAAATTAAAAAGGTTATTAATAAATTAATAAAAGCTAATAAAATAAAATTATTATAAAATAAATATGCTATAAAATTATAAAATATGTTCACTTTTTTATATTATAGAGGTAATATAACTAATATCATAATTGTTTTTTTATACATAGAATTATCAAGAAGTACAAGTCGCAAAAATGCAAGCAGCAACAGCCAATCAAGATTAGTTCAGGATCACTTATCTAATGAAGTTCAGGATAAACGTATGAAGCACTTACCGGATGGATCATTAAACATTTCGGATGGATCATTAAACATTTCGAATAATAATTATATTTCGCAAGACAATGAACATAACATAGAAAATAATAAAACAAAAGATGTCAACAATAAAATTGGTATATAATTTATGTTCTTTAAAATTAGCTTTATGATCTTTCATGGCTGTGTTATCAGTAAACATATCTGTGAAGAAATAATAATTATTATTACTATTTATTCTATTTTTTGATATTATTATTAATATTATTATTATCATTTTTATCACCATTATCTTTATCATGTTTATCATTATCTTAATTATATTAACTTCATATTTTTATCATGTTTTTATTATTTTTATTATTTTATTATACAAAATAAAGATTTTTGTGATCGTATTTTTTGTCTCTGCACTTTATAAGTAAAATATGCCATGGTATACGTTGATAGCATGAACAAGAATCTATTCTATATATATATATATATATATATATATATATATATATATATATATACAATATATGCATATACAATCTTAATAATTTTTAAAAAATTGGAAATTTAATAAGTAATCTTTATTATTTTTGTTCTTATTTACAATATAGTGCTTCAGTATTTTAAAGAAATTATCCGTCAGCAATCATACTTCAGGACACAATTATGGCAAATAGCAGATGATTTAAGAGACATGAAAAATGAACTGATGCAACAAATCCATCAACGGCCAAATGGCAATAATCAAAGAGAAGAGTCTATTTTTTCTTTTCTCCATCTTCCTTTTAATTCTATCGAAGATTTAGAAGAGCATGTTGAGCAATTTTTAAACCAACCAAATAATTTCGAAACATCAGTAATAATACTTCGTTAATTATCATTAAACTATAACTAGTAGTTGGATACTAATACTTTAGTAGTAGTTGAATAGTATAATTATATATTTATGATACACAGAAATTGTTGCAATTCTCATGTTTGCTGTTAATTTTTTATTTTAAATTATTTGCAATGATATAAGTTTTCAAAAATATTTTAAAGACAATTATAGCTAATTGATCTAAAATTTTAAATAGGTATGTTGATTATAAAATACAAATTAACTTAGTAAATAAATTCAAATTGGAAATAAAAATTTATTAAATCAAATTAGTATATAAATTTCAAAAAATGAAACTGATTTTTTTTCAATTCTTTTTAATTCTATTTTTATTACATTGTAAGTCTAATTAGTGTTTACTATGGAAATATATTACTAAAAATTAATAATAAATATTCAAATTATTAAATTAATATTAAATATATTTGTTACACTTGTAATTTTCAAAATAAAATGTACTCAAAACATTTATTGTAGGTTAAAGAAGTATCTCGAGTTGGAGGAAAACATCCTTATGAATTTATTAAGCGCAATTGTACTCGTTTATTGACCAATGAGCTAGCAGAAAAATATAGTTGGCTTGGAACAAAACAAAAGCGAAAGTTTTGTCATTTAAAACTCGCTGACTTGTTAATTAGTAAGCGTCTAATATACATAATGCTATTTATTTGTATACTAATACAATTTTTCTTATCTAAATGATTAATCTTAATAAAACCACATGTATAATCAAAAAAGAAATTACTGATTACAAGATCCTGATTTTTATTACAGTTTCCGGTCAAGAGAGTAATTCCGAATATACTAAAAAAATTTTAGAAGAGGCGATCCAGAAATGGCTGCGAAGAGCCAAAGAAAGATTGAATGCTGAGAAGAAGAAGGAAGATAAATAAAGAATTGAACAAGAAAAAGAAGACGAATTTTGATATATTATCTACATATATATTATCTACATATGACACACATGATGTGTAATATTAACATTGTAATAGCGTTCAAAGTTTTAGTTTTAAGTTGTTAAAGTTAATTTGATAATACGTACGTATGTGATACTAATGTAACCATGTACTATATGTAACCATGTTCAAATATTTAATTTCTAGTTAAGATTTATTATAATGCGTAATATTGCGATATTTCTAGATATGGAAAGTTTATTTTATAATACGTACGTATGTGATACTAATGTATATGTAACCATGTCTAAAGATTTAATTTTTAGTTGTTAAGATTTATTATAATGCGTAATATTACGATATTTCCAGAAACGAAAAGTTTATTTTATAATACGTACGTATGTGATACTAATATGTATATGTGACCATGTCCAAAGATTTAATTTTTAGTTGTTAAGATTTATTATAATGCGTAATATTGTGATATGTTCCAGAAATGGAAGATGATAATTCTGTGAGATATATATATGTATATATATATATACAGGGTGTCAATTAAGTCCCGGGACGGCTGAATATTTTCTCATGTAAGGTATTTTTGAAAAAGGTCAAGGTCATTTCTGAAGTAATTTTCAATGAGGAATTCAACGGTGACCTTCAATTTGACCTTGAGCTTGACCTTCAAGGTTATTTGAAGGTCAAAGTGTTTTTTTTAAATAGGAACCCCTATTTTTGATTGTATATTCTTATAGCTGACCTCGAGAGCTTTCCAAAACACTATAATAAAATATTTTTCCCTCAAGCATTTATCGAGTTATGATGCTTCAAATCATTTCTTAATTTTACATAAACCGTAAAATATCTTGTAAAATATTCACTTTTCGATTATTTTACCTTAATACTTTTATGTACAAAATAATGAGAGGAATCAATTGACGTAAAGAAAACATATAGTTGTTTTTAAGAAAAAATATGGAATTGTTAATTGCAAATTACATATTTTTTCTTAAAAACAACTATATGTTTTCTTTACGCCAATTGATTCCTCTCATTATTTTGTACATAAAAGTATTAAGGTAAAATAATCGAAAAGTGAATATTTTACAAGATATTTTACGGTTTATGTAAAATTAAGAAATGATTTGAAGCATCATAACTCGATAAATGCTTGAGGGAAAAATATTTTATTATAGTGTTTTGGAAAGCTCTCGAGGTCAGCTATAAGAATATACAATCAAAAATAGGGGTTCCTATTTAAAAAAAACACTTTGACCTTCAAATAACCTTGAAGGTCAAGCTCAAGGTCAAATTGAAGGTCACCGTTGAATTCCTCGTTGAAAATTACTTCAGAAATGACCTTGACCTTTTTCAAAAATACCTTACATGAGAAAATATTCAGCCGTCCCGGGACTTAATTGACACCCTGTATATATATATATATATATAAAGATTTATATATTATTATGCATATTGTTAAAACAGTATTTTCAATGCCAAACTCAAAAGCTAATAAATGTCTATATTTAAAATAAATCAATTATTTTATTATTTTTAAATAAATTATTATTAGATCCGCAAGTCATTATATATATCCTATTTACGTCCATGATATATCCAAAATAAGACCATTTTCGACCTATTTCGGATTTACTTTGGATCTCGTAGTAAGTCCTAAGATAATCCAAGATAAGTCCAAAATAAGTTCGACAACAGTCCTGTTTCGAATATTTTACGAATGTCCAAAGTTGTGTCAAACGTACGTGATTTGGATGTCCATCAGACGTCCGACGGATTCTTTTTGGATCAAAAATGGATGTCCGACGTCCAAAAGTAGACGTTCAATGGACATTCACCGAATGTCCATGTGCTATCTGGGCACATTACTCGTCACAACAATAGTTTAAATATTCAGAACGACACTGATAATCTAGACAAAGCCTATCTGCCCATCATAAAAAAATTTTCCTCGGTGTGATACATGAAAAAAATTTTTTCTTCAGAGTGATTCCACCCTACATGATCTCATTCTTATCCCGTCCCTGTTCCCCCTTTTTCCCCCCACTCCTTCTCCTTTTTTCTTTCCCTCTCCTTTTCCTTTTGGCTGAAAAATTTCTTTTCTCACAACTACGCAGTCTCTTGTGACTTTTTGTTGAGGACGCTCCACACTAGCCTTTCTCTCTTGCTTTTTGTTTCTTGCTCCTGCTTCTTTCTCTCTTTCTGTGCTTGCTCTCTTCGGCTCTGTCGCGGTTTCTCCACCTGTACGTAATTATAATTTCTTGTTTTTACCCCTGCGCATAGCTTGCATGTGACAGTGCTTGTCACTCTGCCTCTTTTCTCATGGTTTTTTAGATCCGTACTATATCTGAGGAATTTGGAAGATCGGTCATGACGAGCAATTTGCGCAACTGTGGGTTGGATATATTTGTCTTCAAGATCGGATATCATCAATAATTGAAACGATTTATGAATATCTAATTCCGAAAAGATATATTTTTCAAGTTCACACATAATTTGCATTGTTTCTGTTGGATTCCAGAAATGATCATTTATATTATTATTTTTCCAAAAAAGAAATTGCTCTACAGATATCGAGAATATGGGCGTAGGATGTTTCATTTTAACGCGATCTAATATTTCTTGTGAAATATTATCTAACCACATTTTTATGACCGAATAAGACACATGTGGTTGAAGATATTGCGCGACAATGGTAATTAGTCGTTCTAATAGCGGCGAATTTATCGTCAGCTTATAAAAATGTTTTATATTATTATATGTATATCGGTACAGTTTTAAGAAATTTACAATTAATTCCAAATTATATTTAACTGTCAAATTTTGATCGTATTTTGACCTGAAAATAATTTAAAGATTAACTATAAAATAATATATACATGAATTTATATTATTAATAACAATGTATGACAGTTTAATAAAATATACCATGATAAATGGCATTGTGCAGAACTAATTCTGTTTATCTCATCCAACACAAAAAAATAAGTCAATTTGGAATTTCCAACAATGTAAAGTAGAAAGCTTTCCAATTCTTTTTTGTCAGTTGTCGATAAATTATTATCAGACATCAATGATACATAATATTGTATCTTTTTGACATGCTTCATTCTTGTTTTAATCAGTTCTTCAAAATTTATATAATCAAAAGTTTTCTTCGGCTTTTGTGCGCAATACTTTCTCGCAGTAGGACATCTACAATTAAAATAGAACGTTTTGAATATCACATATTTTTCTTTAAATTACGTGTACATTTTTTAATTATATACAAATTAATATTTGAAGCAAATCAAATAATTTGGTAATCTTAATATTTATTTTTCTTTTTATTTAAGAGAAATATATATTAATTTTTTGACT